GTTGCTACTGATTGTTGCTGACAGGGAGAGAAAAAAATGCCCTTCTCTCAGTGCTACTCCAGCACAAAGTATCCCATCTTTATTATTTTCAATTAATATTAAGGCTGAATAGTGCAGCCTTGGCACAGCCTGAAGTGCGAACAAGGCGAAGTAGATGAGAGATTACAAATTTTTGGCATTCTGGCTTTAACTAAAATAATTTCAGCTTTGTCTTTGGTGGTGGTCTTAAAGCAAGTGGAATGTGAAGGTGGAATTCAGGACYGGCTCTGCAATAACCTAGTGTGAATTTCTTTCTTTAGAAGAGAGTGTTTAATTCCACATATTAACATGTTGGGCTATTTTACTAAAAGCGAAGTTACGCTGATTAGTTACACTACAGAAGCTAAAGTATGTACATCTGCTTGAAGCAGGCATTTAATGGCAGCAATAATGGCTAACTTTGCTCATGTAACGTTTCACTTGAAGAATCTCGAGATGCACACAGCTAACGCTACAGTGTTTTCTTTTTACCGATTTATTTTTATTTTCTTTTAAATAAGCAGAATTCAAGCGGTTTATTTTTTGTTAGTTCCCCCCTTCAGATGACAAGAATTTCATCTCCTTACTTATTATGTCCTTCCTTGCCAAAATGAAATCCCCTACCCCTAAAATRAAATCATGATAAATGGGACTAGAAAGGTAAATTCTTAAACTTTCTTTAAAATGTGCCWTTACACAACAAACTTCCTGGTATTGATTAAGCCCAGGTGGTCTGCTCACCCAGCAAACAGATATTTYACAAAGCTTTATTATGCCTCATTAGAATTCCGTCCTTTAGAAGATTTCTAATTATATTGTCTAATAAAACTAAACCTTCGAAGCTATTTGCATATTATATGAAGAAATCTCATACAACAAACTCACAGTGGATTCAATTAACATAATAGCTAATTATATATCCCATCAGCCTTTAGAGTRGCTCAGCATTCATGTTGCTCCTGTTTTAGCCTAGAGCAAGGGAGGTTTGAATTTTCACTTCTAAATATTGACTTTTAACTAATATCAAAAATGATTTGAACACTTTTGTGGATGAAAAGATAATGATTAAACTACATGAAACATTTTAAAAGACTTATTTCCAAGTCATTGAAACAATTCCTGTTTAAACCTAAACCTTGCCATATTATCCATTCCAAGTCTGTCCATATTTTACACAAAAAAAAAAGACCAGATATGTCTAATTATTTTTAYAAATGTTTGAGTGACAGCTCGGTTATTTTGAAACTGCCTACTTCCTGCAGTTACATTTTGTATATTTTTCATTGCACTTTGTAATGCAATTGTATTCTTGGCCAGTTTTGGTATCTATCAAGTAAGAAATTTAGGACTAGATTAACAGAGACATAGTAATGAACAGGCATTTGAGCACCCTATAATTGACTGTTATTAAGGTGTTGTCACAGTAGTCTGTAATGAATTCTCCTGTTTTCTTTTGAAATTGGATGAGATATTCCGGAAAAAAAAAAAAAAA